GTTGGTACGCTTTGTGGTATAGGTATAACCCACGACTTTATAATAAGTATACTGTAAGACATATGTAAGTCGTAATAATAATTACATTATAAAAATTATGAGTAGTTTTAAGAAAGTATGTATATAATGCATATAGTGTCATATGTTTAAAAATTTAAAAATCTAACTAAACTTTTAATTTTTATAATTCATTATATCCTGGCAGGGTCGCCATGTAATGTTTGAACAATGCAATAAATTAAACTCACTGATGCAGTTTAATAACTCTCTCTTTATTGGTTTGGAGGAGACTTATATATAGTGGTTGTGACGTAGGTACATAGGTAGGGGGCAGGGTTTGTGTTACGTGGTTCCAGGTAGAGCCACATGAATGGTATCTTCTTCTATAAATATAATATGATATTACTGAACTAAATAGATGTTATTTCTACTCCTTATATGGAGTCCACGTTGAGTGATGATATCATTTAATATTCCTGTTATATTGCTTTATCATAGTACCTACACCACAGCTTGACTCTCTGGTTATTAAGTGAGGATGTTACCGCCCATCTCCTAGTTTGTTTCCCTTAGTCGCCTCTTACGTACATTTGTAATTTATAATAAATTTATAATTTAAAATTGAATTACAGCTTTTAATTTTTTTTCGCTGAAGGCATTGTAGCTAATGCCACTATAAATAAATAAAAACAAATTCGAAAGCACGCGGCGTAGCCAGCAACCCAACCTGGGTTATGTGTATATACCGAGGCTTTTCCGTATTCCAATTCGTAATGACACTCGAAAAAGCACGTAGATGCGGCTCAAAAGGGAAATTGGTCTGTAGTCTTTCAAGAGAGCGTTGTCGTCTTTCTTGAAAAACAAAACCACAGCACTTCTGCTCCACACCTCCGGAGTAGTGCCACCATGAAAGACGGAATTAAATAGCTTCTGAACGACTTCAAGTACTAGATTTCCACCCGCTTTCAGTAAGCTCCGCTGTAATTCCTTCCTTGCCCGGGGCCTAAGTAAGAAATGTACAGATCCCCATAGAACCTCTCACTCTCACTCTCAATCTCAGGTGTCCCGGAAACGATGCTGCCACAGTTGGCTTTTCTTAGCACACAGATCTCTGGAAAAAAACTGGAGCTCTGATTCCGCTCGATCGCTACTTCAATACGAGCTGTATTAAAGTTGCGTAAGTCCCGCAACATGTGTTTGGAGATCTACCTGTTCAGTTACCTGTATGCTTTCAAATCTGCTGAAGCCTGCAGCTTCATTTCAACTCGAGCTGAAAGTTTTCGGGGCTTCGGATTAGAGCACGACGGGGAGGGAGCGTTAACTTCAGTAGACGTGAGCTCTCCAACTTCACGACTAGTTCAGTGTGCCTCTTGCCATTTAGTGATCGCTACCAGTTTTCACCCTCGGGTCTACTGAGAAATCAAAATTTTTGTCGAACCGACGTCTAGTTACTCTTTCTCCATGAAGTCGGCCAGCTCTTGGCCTCTTGAGTTCCGTTGCCCTATCCCGAATTTCCCTACCTTCAGCTCACCATTGTCTCTCGTGCCTAGTTCTGCGTTGAAGTCTCCCGTTAACACCGTATAATAGCACTAGGAGTAGTGGTAGTTTTGGAGTAATGCATGCCTTTTGAGATATCCTCATACATTTCCTCCATCTCCTCATCGGGATGTGCCGAGTTTGGTGTGTAAACTTGTATGACCTGCAGTGAATACCGGTTGGTGATTCTGAATATAAGCAGGACTGTCTGTCTATACCTACACTGCGCGGCCCCGTATGCAGAGCTAATTTCGTGAGGATGTCACGCGCGCGCTCTAGCTGACACGCGTCTTACGTTAACATAAAAAATATTTTTCTCTAATAAGTATTTTTGATAAAAAGGATAAGGCACTTTTGATATTTATTTTTGAGTTGTTATTCAAGTATGGCCTCTTTAAAAGTCAAAAGGTGGTGGTCATAGCATACGGGTGCTTAAATAACAATAGAAAGGTCGACTTTTCATTCTTTACTGTTCCTAAGTATACCGAAAAGTAAAATATTATTATTTATAGGTAGAACTAGATAATTAGGTACTTAGATACTGACGCCATAGTTACAGTTTTATTATTTGGTTAGCGACCCGATCACAGCTTCGTAGTTTTCGATTACTAATGCAGAATATACTGGTTATTAGTTTAAAGCCGGTGCCAGATATAGCAACAACATTTAAACAATACAGACTGTCGCACGCGGACTTAAGGTGCATTTTGATTTAATACGCGCATTAATTTTTTTCGACGATATATTCGGTAGGCTAATCTGACGGTCGTGTTCGAGGTGTGCAAAGTATTATGAACATTAGCGACGTTGTAACTAGGTTTAAACTCGCAAGTTTGCTCTCAGAGATTGAGCCTTCTGTTCTTGTACTATTATTTATTCTGTCGTATAAAGTACGGAACCTTCGTCGACACACTCCCAATATTTGCAACGTTGTTAACGAAAGACTTGTGGACGTTAAATCCGACACCTTACTTGAGACAAATGGTCGCCCTCCCGGTGATAGGACAAGTTGTCGGATTCGAGGATTACTGTGTCCTCCCCTTCTCTTCGGACCTCAGATGATCCTATACCTAATATACCAGCGCAACTTGTCTATCTCTTCTTACGGCTCCAGGACCATCTCGTCAGTACTCAGGGTGCATGCGTTATATGTTGCCAAGTCGAGTCGTTCGCGACGAGCGTATGTTTAGTTCTTTGTTTAAAATGAGTGGCTGGCGAAGAGAGTTTATCGTGTCTGAAATATTACCAGAGCGAAATTATGTTAATTATAAATTTACATGCATTATTAAAACATTATCAGTAGTTATTTTATTATTATAAAATATTCGATAATGATTTATTTTATCTATCTGGAACCCCAAAGACGTTAATCATAAAGATAAAAAGAAAGTTGCAGATGCTTGGAGTCGTCTTGCCGAGTTAACGGGAAAGCCAGTAAAAGAATTAAAAGCCAAAAAAGAAATATTGATGACAAGTTTTCGCAAGCATTTGAAAGACAAACAGGATTCTTCGAGCTTGCCATGTTTTTGTATTACTTTGCTTGTATTTAAAATCAAAGTATGTTAAACCAAACGCAATAGCTGACACAAGTTCGGTGTCCGCCATGCCTGGGTGTAGCACACTGACACATTCACAAGCAATAAAACGACTTCCAAATGCCAAACGAGATTTGTGAATGCTTGGGGCTTGAAGACGTTTGCCAAGGCTTGGCAAGCGTGGAAAGCCACCATAAAGGTACATGCTTTATTAGATAGAGATAAGCCAGTCAGGGAAGGCGAATGGCTCCTGAGCAAAGTAGCTAATTAGTCTAACTTTTTAGCAAACATAATGTGGACTGACGGGAGCACATTCACATGCAACGGAATATGGAATCGTCAGAACTTACGATACTGTACTGGAGTCAAGAAAATCCGCAACTGTGTCGAGAGTCTGTGCACCAATACAGATTTGCCGTTAATATTTGGACTGGAATACACAGAGATCAAATAATTGGTTCCGTGTTTATCGAAGGCAACCTTAATTGGTCTAAATTTTTGGAACCGCTTGACGGCCCTGTGGCGGATTACGTTGATGGGCTATCGTTGGGGGCCGATAGCCGGTTATGGTATCAGCTTGATAGAGCACCTGCTCATTCAGTGGTGGCTGCCAGGCGTCGCCTCACTGAGATGTTCGGAGAGAAATGGATTGGCCGATACGGACCTTCTTGGTGGCCAGCACGTTCTACGGACCTAACACCGTTAGATTTCTTTTTATGGGGTTACATAAAAAATGAGATGTACTCCACTAAAGTAACGACCGTCGAGGACATAAAAATAAAAATAATTCGGGTTTTCGACAAAATAAAAAATTTTGCAGCCAATTGTGACCTACTTCGAAAAGTTTGTAATAATATCGTGCGACGATGTCAATTATGCATTCAGGTACACGGCGGACATTTTGAAAATTTAAAAATGTGATTTGTTTTGATTATTAAACTTGAGTGATTTCAAAATTTGTGTGATTATTTGGATAAAAACAATACCATGAAATTTGTGATTTGTTGACAACATCGGATTAGCATCGCCCTAAGCGTGCCTAATTACCAATGTATGGGCAAGTGTAGCTATTATAATTACGTATGTCGATGTCGCGTGAGCACTGAACCGCTGGCCGCGCCGTTGCCGCTTTTTTAGGTAACTTCAGGTCAGTAAACTAATATTATCAAGGATTATTTATGTCGTGTAGTTTTTTACGCTATTTATTTTGTTTGAAAGATGCATTTTTTATTCTATTTTATTATTTTAACAGACAAATATATCAACTTGTATTAACTGCCATGCTATGCTATTTAACGTGATAAACTAAGCGCCACCCAGTATACAGAGCAATGCCAGAAGTAATCTACTCTATATTTTTCCCGAAAAAGTAGGAATCTTTTTTTAAATTAAATAAGTATTAATAAAATAAATGATCAATAACGGTTATTTTAAAAATAAAAATATCGTCATATAAATAGATCATTAGACGAAGTCGGGGCGGGTCGCTAGTTTTTTTATGAAAAAAAAAAATGTGTGCAGTTCAAACGCGGTAAAAGTGAAACCTTTAGAAAATTGTGAGTAAAATTGCTTTGTAATAGCGCCATCTACTCTACAATATATAGGTAAAGTCGTTATATCGAACAAAAATTAATTGACTCTCAAGGTGGTACGTAAAATAGACGCTGGATGGCCTAAATACGACTAATTTAATATAAATTGGTACGTTATTAAATCATGGATTGTTATGAATGGATTGGATATGATAAATTTATTCAATATGGTTTATTTTACTTTTAGTTGTTACTTTTTTTAACTGTTTATTTTAACAGTTATACTAATCATCTTTAAAGCACCGCACAAAGAGGAGTACCGAAAAATGTGTACCCCAATACAAATACGTAAAGCAGTTTATTGATTTACTACTTTAATAATTTTTTCCAGCTAAAAATGGCAACAGACGTCCCAATGATGGAGGTGATCGATCCAGACTCGGCACAGTTGGAGAAGCTGGTGGCACCACAAGCGGCGCCCAGGAAGTACGAGATCGTACACAGAAACCTGCTCACGTTCGGATACGCGCACGCGTCTGCTCTGTATGGACTATATCTAGTCTGTACCAGCGCTAAATGGCAAAGCATTTTCTTTTGTAAGTTGACGCATTTTTTATTTATTGATTGGGGGGTGAAAAGCGAGCACACAGTCCACCTGATGTTAAGTTGATGCTGTGGCCGATGTCTATCTACATGTATCCTCGATTACAAATCAAAATGCAGATACGTTGTCAACCCTGAGGACTGAGATGGAACGCCTTGTTTTCAGTAAAAAGTACTACTGCAACTATATTAGTTGTAGAACGAATGTGTCGGCCCGACCGGGGTGAGACTACGATCTCACGGAACACCAGCATGAAATAGCAGTTTAGAGCTGCTGTACTTAATATGGTGAGTGTAGAGAACCGCAGACCCTTTTTACTGGATAAAAGGCATTGCAGTAGATGTCTTTGGGCAACAGTATGCACTTACCATCATGTGGACTGTGTGCTCGTTTGTTTTCATCATGTTTGTTACCCATTAAAAAATCTTCTATAAACTGTCTTAACACAAACTTCAGAAGCTATTATATGAAAACATTTTTTTAAGTTAGTTTTGTCTTTTTTTATTAACCATTTTATTGTATTGTTTTGTATTAGAGTTAACTATTGTTATAAGTGAACTAGGTTAAACCCGTAGTAAATCAGTCAAGTGTCTGTTCGGGTCTAATTTAGTAACGGATTTTTAAACTTCCCACTAAGCTTCCCAAACTTTTGAAAATAGCTGAGATTCGGATGACAATATATAAATGTGAAAAACGAGATATATTAAAAAGAAAACATAATGGTCGCGTCTGCATTTTTGTAGTTTGTGAGTTAGTATTGGCTGCCACAAATTCCCTCCCCCTATCTCTTCCTTTGTGGCACATACCTGGTGTGGCACAGATCGCTGTGTCGTCCAGTAGTCGACGCTAACCGCTAAAGGCAGGACATCCCAGTCATTGTCGCACGCGAATCGTCGCGTATATGTTGTCTTAATATTATTTAATCGTTGGAAGTTTGTTTGGTGCACATGACTTTATAGAGAAGAAATCAGAACTGTAGATTTAGTGTCAACATAGCGCATCGTGTCATCGAGTCATCAAGAGACACGCTCTTCTCAAACTTACTGTGCTTTATCCATCCCTTCATGAGTTGTTTAGTTGTTGTTCCTAATACGTAGCAACTCATCTCCCTTTGTGTCAGCCAACGAACTAAAGCAATTTAGTGTAGTGTGCTGGGAGTAGTGGTGACGGGAATAGTGCATGCAATTAAGGTAGGGTGCGCTTCCAAACTAGGTAAGACACATCATTTTATTTCAGCGGATATAAGCAAAGTATTTTTTTTTACATTTTTAATATTCTTCCTTATCAAATCTTATTTGAGGCCTTAAATTTCCAGTATATATTTTGCTCGTGCTGTCCACGATCGGCATCACAGCTGGAGCCCACCGGCTGTGGACGCACAAGGCCTACAAAGCCAAGATGCCGCTGCAGATAATCCTCATGTTGATGAACAGCCTGGCCTTTCAGAACACCGCTACAGATTGGGTGCGCGACCATCGACTGCATCATAAGTAAGGAACATTGTCTTATTTTAGTCTGTTTTTTGTATGTACGCAACGCGAGATCTTTATTTATTTATTTATTTCAGAGACATGGTACAATAAGTTCGTGCGGCGACGACCTTAATTTCACTTAACTAGGAGTGAATTATTATATGTAGATACACCATAGTCTTCGTGGGTAAAAACGCATAATTCATAATGTATGTACGTAAAACATGAATAGCTTTGACAAGAATAAAGATGTTCATACTTTAAACACTAGGAACAAACATAGGCATGCAATGACAGTTACTAGACTCCACAGAATTAGTAATTCATTTATGGGGCAATGTGTATACATTTAGCGTATGGTTTTAGTATAAAATTTTAGAAAAAGTTCAAAGTTTGTCAACAAACAAAAAGTTTTATTAAAGAAAAACTGTACAAAAAGGGTTATAATAATATCAAGGAATACATGAATGAAAATAACCCCTGGGAATGAAGTGATCGCAACCACGATTCTTTTAAAATTCTAGAATAATTTCTTTATATTTACGCGAATGCTACACATTGAATGAAACTATTTTTACGGATTTTATCACGTGTAATTTTCTTATTTTTAAAACTAGCTGTTCTCCGCGACTTCGCCCGCGTGTTATTTGGGGTTTAAATTTTTTTGCGCGGAACCCTAATTCTGTTTCTAAAATAAAAGTAGCCTAAGTTACTCCTTGTGACCTCAGCTATGTGCCAGTGAAAATCCCGTCAAAATCGGTACAGCCGTTTCGGAGATTAGCCGGAACAAACAGAGAGACAAAAACTTTAAAAATTGTGTTTTTGTTATTAGTACCGTATATACTTTCATATGCATTTAGTAAAAAGCTGTAATTTTGACATTACAAACAGACACCTCAATTTTATTTATTTGGATAGATTTCCGACGTTTCAAGTGCTTTACAGCACCCATTGTCACGAGAAGGACTGGGATGTTTGACGTCCCGATGTATACGTACGTACGATAAATTTTTGGTCCGATCTAGCTCCAAACTTTTAATAAACTTTTTTTGAGTACATCATAGAGAACATACTTCAGTTACCGATGCGTATGCGTATTATCGTAGTCCATACATACATACATACATATAATCACGCCTCTTTCCCGTAGGGGTAGGCAGAGACCACTTCTTTCCACTTGCTACGATCCTTACATACTTGTTTCGCTTCGTCCACTTTCATCATTCGCTTCATACATGCTCTACGGTTTAGGGTACTCTTGATCGTATTCCATTGTTTATAATATACTACGCTATGTAAAACATATTTGTGAATTTTCTTTCGCCATTTCTTCTGCGGTCAGAGAAACCTTATTTCGAAACAGTAGTAAATTTAGCAGGATTAAAAGAATGACATTTTACGAACGAAATTATATTTTCTTTACTCGTGTGATTATATATTCTTGCGTCGAAGAAATAAATACCTATATTTCAGTCTAATACATTTCCTTATTCTGTGAGAGCGTGGTCCTTCTCTTGCCGAGTCGACTCATTCACTCTGCAACCATGATGTGGAGCAACAACACGTTAAAAAACTTATCTCTTACAGATACAGCGACACGGATGCTGATCCACACAACGCCACTCGGGGCTTCTTCTACTCGCACATCGGCTGGCTGCTGGTGAGGAAGCATCCGGAAGTCAAAAAAGGGGCAAGCTCATCGACATGAGCGACATCTACGCAAATCCTGTGCTAAGATTTCAAAAAAAGTAAATTCCGCCACTAATAACGTTACGGTGCATTATTTAACTTTTGTATATTTATGACGACGGATCCGTAGTACATATGCTATGGGGTTCGAATTCTGCACTATATAACCAATTGCATAAAACAGAAAGTTAAATTACAGCCTATATACACCCGAGTACCGTGACACTCTGAGGCTAAGTGCACGCAGTAAATTTCACAGTTCGCGAGAAATCCGGGCTCGATTCCCGTCGGCACCAATTATCGCTAAGGGAAATTTTAAGTCCTGATTTGCCACGTGCTCGGCGGTTAAGAAAAACATCGTGAGGAAACCTGCATATCTGAGAAATAAAAAAAATCGTTTTTGAAGACATGTTAAGACCGCCAGCAGCCTATGGGATAGCGTAACGGACACTTCCTTGCAATAAAACCCTCTCCGTAATGAGAGAAGTTCTGTGCCCAGGAGAGGGACGTATTTAGGCTGTAACTTTAAGTTTTTACTTTACTATATTCTTTCCACGCCTGGGCACAGGTCTCTCATTTTTGATAAAGTTATGGAGCAATTAGTCTTATAGCTAAATGAAAATCTAGCCATATAGCTAGATGGAAGAAGTGAGAAGACTCGAGTGACAGCCCCATACTAGAAAGCGTAGTGTTCAACGAGTCCCAATATAATATGGAACGATGATCCGATTAAATTTTTTTCTGAAAAATGGGAGTAAAAATCGTGAGGAAATCAGAGGAAGCCTATGCACAGCGATGAGACGTAAATGGGCTGCAACTGGTATTTAATTTTACAAAAACAAGGTTTATAACATTACGACTTAAACTTAAAACCAGGTGGGATAGTAGTCAAGCACTGTAGGATAGTAGTGAAGCACTGTAGGATAGTAGTGAAGCACTGTAGGATAGTAGTGAAGCACTGTAGGATAACAGTGAAGCACTGTAGGATAGTAGTGAAGCACTGTAGGATAGTAGTGAAGCACTGTAGGATAGTAGTGAAGCACTGTAGGGTAGTAGTGAAGCACTGTAGGATAGTAGTGAAGCACTTTAGGATAACAGTGAAGCACTGTAGGATAGTAGTGAAGCACTGTAGGATAACAGTGAAGCACTGTAGGATAGTAGTGAAGCACTGTAGGATAACAGTGAAGCGCTGTAGGATAGTAGTGAAGCACTGTAGGATAGTAGTGAAGCACTGTAGGATAGTAGTGAAGCACTGTAGGATAGTAGTGAAGCACTGTAGGATGGTAGTGAAGCACTGTAGGATGGTAGTGAAGCACTGTACGATGGTAGTGAATCACTGTAGGACAGTAGTAAAGCACTGTAGGATAGTAGTGAAGCACTGTAGGATTGAAGTCAAGCACAGGCTAAAAACTTACTTGAAACAATTTTCTTTTTTGACATCAGCAAGATTTTTTAAAGGTTAAAGGTACTCCGGTTCTCTACACTCACCATACGAAAAGCTGCTATTTTACGTTAGTATTCTGTGAGAGCGTAGTTCATATCTCGGTCGAGCCGACCAATTCGTTCTACAAACCTAATATAGATGCAGCGTAGTTCTTCTACGTGAGACTATGGCACTACGGGGTAGGACTACGCTCTCACAGAATACCAGCGTAAAATAGCAGATCAATGCTGCTGTGTGTTATAGTAATACTCGAGGGTGAAAAGCACCTGCACTTGGAGTTTTAATCAAGGATAAATGTACATGTCTTTATGCCACAGCATTCACTTACCATGACATGCGTGTGCAGACATTAAATGACCATGAATACTAGCGCAATAGTATAAAAAGTGAACAATAATTGCCTTTTCTGAAATTCTAGATACGCCGTACCCGTCATCGGTTTAATTTGCTTCGCTCTACCTACGTTAATACCGGTCTACTTTTGGGGGGAGAGCCTCAAAATCGCCTGGCACATGGCGCTACTAAGATACGTCCTGAACCTCCACGTCATGTTCCTGGTGAACAGCGCTGCACATTTATGGGGCAACAAACCCTACGACAAGAATATCATCCCGGTCCAGAACATCCCAGTGTCGATCATAGCGTTAGGCGAAGGCTTTCACAACTACCACCACGTCTACCCGTGGGACTACCGTGCAGCGGAATTGGGGAATAACTGGTTGAACCTTTCAACACTATTCATTGATTTTTTCGCATGGATCGGATGGGCCTATGACCTTAAAACGGTACCGGATAGCATGATCAGGGCGAGGTCAGATAGAACTGGCGACGGGACGAATATGTGGGGAATGGGCGAGAAGCATGAACATAGTGATAAGTCTGAATAAAATTTGTTAAACTGTTATTTTTTTATTATTATAATTAAAATGCAAAATAAAACGTTATATTTTACAAATAATTATTAAATTTAATGAAACTAATTTTACGGATTTTATTGCGTTTAATTCAATCTTTTTAATTCCCGACTGTTCGAGCGCTCTACAGCATCCATAGTAACAGGGGAACTGAGGTGTTTGACGTCCTGAAACTTCACAAACAGAAAGAGAGCATTGTTAAGAGTGATCTAGGCTTTATACAGGTTGTCAGGTAAGTAATGGATAACCCCGCAGATATTAGTGACGGGCACCTCGACCACTCAGAAAAAAATAAAATACAAAAATTATATCTGCAACAGTCTGGAAAAATAGTACTTTTTTTTTCAAAATTACATTTTTGTTAAGTGTGAAATTTGATACTTTAGTACACATTATTGAGAACGACGGCAACAAATTTATTATAACCAATTGATTTTCTCTCGGAATAACCGTGATTGTTCGACCTTGACGTCGCGAGTTTCAAAATATTTCTAGCTTGTAACTGTTTTTTTTTTTAAAAACTAATACTACTTAACTTATTAAGTTTTTTATAAAAATAAAAATTGTGATTTTCGATTTTACAATGACTAAGTTTGAGCACGTGTGGCATAAAATTAAACATTTAAAACACAAGATTAAACGCAGTTGAAGAATAGTACCAATAAGAGTACCTTCTTTCTTTCAAGATTTTGGACCGTATATTAACGACAAAAAATATATTTGTCGTGTCTGTGACTAAGAAATCACTAAAAGCAAACATCCTTTGCTTTTAGTGATTTTTGCATGTTGAAAAAAGTTAAGAAACAGTGAATTACGTAAGTAATAATGTTTTTTTTTTTAATAATTTAAATGTCCAAAAATAATCTTCAGGACATGCAGTCTTAAAAACTTTTTATAGGTCCGACTTTCGATATGCAAATTCTATTTAATATTTTCTAATGTTTCTAAGTATGATGAGTTATATATAATTTAATGTATGTACACAAAAACAACCCGGGTTCGATCCCCGACGGCACCAATGAAATTGTTAATTGCAATTTTATGTGCTGATTTACCAAGTACTCGGCGGTGAAGGAAAAAATCATGAGGAAACCTGCATGTCTGAGAAATAAACAAAATATTTTGAAGACGTGCCAGTTCGCCAGCACGCATTGGGTCAGCGCGGCGGATATTTACTTGCCCTTAAACCGTCTTAGAAATGAGAGGAGGCCTGTGCCCTACTATGGCACTATATAGACTGTGACTTTAACTTTTAATATAATAACAAAAATCGTTTCAGTAAAAATGTGTTGTTATACCAAGTCATCCTATAAATACTAAGAACAAGCAGTGGCAAAGCTTTACCTTTCAAAAAGTATTCTTGTAAGCAAAATTGAATACAAATTCCATTATATTGCACGCCTCATAACGCAAAGAGTTATTAGGTTGTCTATTACACGTCAAGGTCAAGCAATTTTGTGTTCTTAAATTCTCTATCATAACCATATTGCACTTATAAGATAATATGAGTAGCCGTATATCAGGAAAACACTGTAATTAATGCATCTTATATATTCTAACAAATCATTTTATATTGCTACTTTGATAAAAAACGGTTTGAAATAAAATTTTACGTGGACTTCGACGATGTAGATTTTGTATGTGGTCACGATAACCCCCGAAAAATGTACATATCGAGGCCGGTTTTTTTTTATTAGCTTCAGAATTACATCAAGTGTTCCCTACACGCGCAGTTTTTTTTTTATAGAATAAGGGTGACCAACGAGCACACAGTCCATTTGATGGTAAGTGGTTGCTGTGGCCCATAGACATCTACATCTATCTTCGTTTGCGAATTAAAATGCAAATGTGTTGTCAGCCGTGAAGACTAAGATAGAATGCCTCTTTTCCAGTAAAATGGGTCTCCGGTTCTCTACACTCACCATGCGAAACACAGCAGCATCAAGCTGCCATTTTACGCTGGTATTCAGTTTATTAATAAAATGATTTTCAAGTTCTATAAATTTAATCGTTATTAAAAATTTTAAGGCGCATTAATTTTCTTCTTTAGCCCTTGACAGACAAAGGACAAATGTACCATACAGCCTATATCGATTTTATACTTTGAGAAATCGATTAATTTTGGTAATTTATTTTTTCCATCAAAATTAAATGAAACACTCATGAGGCGCGCACTTTTGGATTTTCCAAGCTAATTATATTATATTATCTTAACTTTGTACGTTTAGCATGACGCCTACAATAAAAAAATAATTCCTCGAAGCAGAAGACGATTTCGACAGGTCAGTTTCACGACCTGCCCCGCGAAAATACGACATCCTCTACTTCAACGTACTCACACACATCTAGCTTAATCTGTGTGCTGCATGTGGATTGTACCTAACATTTACTCAGGCTCAATGGAAAACAGTGATACCGATATATCGATGCCAAACTATGACTAAATACTTAGTCAACATAAAACTTTTAAACTTGGCACGTTTTTTTTTATAGGATAGGGTGACAAACGAGCACACAGTCCACCTGATGGTAAGTGGTTACTGTGGCCCATAGACATCTACATCTATCCTCGTTTGCGAATCAAAATGCAGATGCGTTGTCACCCGTGAGGACTAAGATGGAATGCCTCTTTTCCAGTAAAAAGGGTTCCCGGTTCTCTAC